TTCTCAAAAGGGAACAAATGTTCTCAGTGAGCAGTTCAGAGGTTTTGCTAGGATGTATTTAAACTAGGAGAGGGGGGGCAAAAGGGTGATAAAACATCAATCCAATTGTCCCCCAAAACAAGGACAGAAGGTGCCTGTAGCAAGTGTGTTAAAAAATGATAAGCTTAGAGTCATGTCTACAAATGCTCGCAGTTTAGGGAATAAGATCCATGAACTTGTGGCAATAATGGCAACTGATAGTGTAGATTTAGTCGCTGTTACTGAGACATGGTACAATGAGAAAAATGACTGGGACATAGCAATACCAGGGTACTCTTTATATAGGAAAGATAGGGAAGGCAAGAAAGGGGGAGGGGTGGCCTTGTATGTGAAGGATAGCATAAAATCTAGCCTAATAAAAGTTAGTGAGGCAAACATAGAGTCCGTTTGGGCTACGTTAGAATTTGGTAATCACACAGTAACTCGTGTAGGTGTGATTTATAGGCCCCCAGGACAAATTGAAGAGTTAGATAATCTACTAGTTGAGGAAATAGCTAAAATGACAATGAAGGGGGAAGTTATCATCATGGGTGACTTTAATCTTCCTGATGTAAATTGGAAAACAAAATTAGCTACTTGTGCCAGGAGCACACATATTCTAAACTCCCTACTGGGATTGTCTATAAAACAAGTTGTTGAGGAGCCAACTCGTAAAGAGGCCATACTAGATTTAGTGTTAACAAATGGAGATTTGGTATCAGATATTACTGTAGGTGAAAGTTTAGGATCCAGTGATCATCAGTCAGTGTGGTTTAATATAAGAACAGTGACTGAGTCACACCACACAAAAACAAAAGTTTTAGACTTTAGAAAAACAGACTTTTCTAAAATTAGAATATGGGTAGAGGAGTCATTATCAGACTGGAGCAATTTAAATGGAGTCCAAGAAAAATGGGATTATTTAAAAGTTGCACTATTGAAGGCAACAGAAAATTGCATTAGGCTTGTCAGTAAAAGCAAAAAATTCAAGAAACCACTGTGGTACTCCACAGATGTGGCCAAAATAGTTAAAAACAAAAAGTTAGCATTTAGGAATTATAAAAAAACCCAGAGTGAGGAAGACAAAATGATCTATAAGATTAGGCAGAAAGAGGCTAAGCAAGTTATAAGAGCTTCCAAATCACACACAGAAGAGAAAATAGCACAGTCAGTAAAAAAGGGGGATAAAACATTTTTTAGATACATAAATGAGAAAAGAAAAGTAAAACAAGGATTAGTTAGATTAAAAACAAAAGAAGGAAGGTATGTAGAAGAGGATAAAGGTCAGGCTGACTGCCTCAATGAATATTTTTGTTCTGTATTTACAGATGAAAATGAAGGAAAGGGACCTCAGTTGAGAAAAAGGATAAATGAGTCATTTATTACACTGACCTCAGAGGAAGAGGGAAGCTAGTTTAAAGATAAAGTCAAAAGTAAAGACAAATAAGTCAATGGGACCTGATGGAATACACCCAAAGCTATTAAAAGAGCTTAGTGGTGTACTAGCAAAACCATTAACAGATTTATTTAACCAATCATTGTTAACAGGAGTAGTCCCAGAAGATTGGAAGTTAGCGAATGTTGTGCCCATTTACAAGAAAGGTAATAGGGAGGAGTCGGGCAACTATAGGCCAGTAAGCCTTACTTCAGTAGTGGGGAAAGTGATGGAAACCATGTTAAAGGATAGGATTGATGAACATCTAAAAACACATGGATTTCAAGATCAGAGACAACATGGGTTTACTTCAGGGAGATCATGCCAAACTAATCTTATTGATTTTTTTGATTGGGTAACTAAAACTATAGATCAGGGTGGTGCAGTAGACATTGCTTACCTAGATTTCAGTAAGGCTTTTGACACTGTTGCACATAGAAGGCTTATCAATAAACTGCAATCTTTAAGTTTGGATTCCAATATTGTTGAATGGGTAAGGCAGTGGCTGAGTGACAGGCAACAGAGGGTTGTAGTTAATGGAATATATTCGAAGCTTGGACTTGTCACCAGTGGGGTACCTCAGGGATCTGTACTTGGACCCATTCTCTTTAATATTTTTATTAGTGATATTGCAGAAGGTCTTGATGGTAAGGTATGTCTTTTTGCTGATGATACTAAGATATGTAACAGGGTTGATGTTCCAGGAGGGATAAGCCAAATGACAAATGATTTAGGTAAACTAGAAAAATGGTCAGAATTGTGGCAACTGACATTTAATGTGGATAAGTGCAAGATAATGCATCTTGGACGTAAAAACCCAAGGGCAGAGTACAGAATATTTGATAGAGTCCTAACCTCAACATATGAGGAAAGGGATTTAGGGGTGATTATTTCTGATGACTTAAAGGTAGGCAGACAATGTAATAGAGCAGCAGGAAATGCTAGCAGAATGCTTGGTTGTATAGGGAGAGGTATTAGCAGTAGAAAGAGGGAAGTGCTCATGCCATTGTACAGAACACTGGTGAGACCTCACTTGGAGTATTGTACACAGTACTGGAGACCGTATCTTCAGAAGGATATTGATACCTTAGAGAGGGTTCAGAGAAGGGCTACTAAACTGGTTCATGGATTGCGGGATAAAACTTACCAGGAAAGGTTAAAGGATCTTAACATGTATAGCTTGGAGGAAAGACGAGACAGGGGGGATATGATAGAAACATTTAAATATATAAAGGGAATCAACACAGTAAAGGAGGAGACTATATTTAAAAGAAGAAAAACTACCACAACAAGAGGACATAGTCTTAAATTAGAGGGACAAAGGTTTAAAAATAATATCAGGAAGTATTACTTTACTGAGAGGGTAGTGGATGCATGGAATAGCCTTCCAGCTGAAGTGGTAGAGGTTAACACAGTAAAGGAGTTTAAGCATGCATGGGATAGGCATAAGGCTATCCTAACTATAAGATAAGGCTAGGGACTAATGAAAGCTTTTAGAAAATTGGGCAGACTAGATGGGCCGAATGGTTCTTATCTGCCGTCACATTCTATGTTTCTATGTTTCTATGTTTCTATGTTTCTATGTTAAGGCCAACAATTTTAGTCTCTGCTTATGCAGATGATGTTGTGTCAACCTTGACACACTCAAATGAATCCATGATGGCCTTGAAAGAAGTTGTTGAATACAGTGTCCGGTAGGGATATAAGGTAAATATGGAAAAAGCACACTCTCAACTGGCCTGTTGACAGCGAACACAACACACATTTGTGATGTCTATCACCTCCAGGTCACTCACAAATCAATAAAATATATTGTCTAAATTATGCCTGTGATGAAGTGCCCCACTGATAAAAACTCAAATTGAGGACATGGACGGGAGGTTGGACAAGTCAATCTCATGGACTTGGAGAGTTCACTTTGTAAAGATGAACATACTCCACCGTATCCTATTTCTGTTCCAAGCACTACTAATCCCAATTACCAGATTAGATTTAGCCCACAGCCTATAGGGACTTTTATATGGCAAAATAAAAGACACAAAATTTCCCACAGCATCTTGTATCAGTCCTGTTTGTTAATTGCCTTATATTTCCAGGATATAAACAGATTTTTGGTAGTTAAGGCTGTCCATTGCTGTAAAGTTTGGTGAGTGTGGGGTTAAATCCTAGCTCACACGAGAGAGCCCAAATATCAGTCAAATACCCAGGACTCCCATCTCCCTTGTATCAGCTGAGGCCCATTTAGTGGTCAAAGACCAATTAGTGAGCAGAACACAGTTCTTTGGGGTGAGAACTGCTCACAGTCCTTTAAATAAATTAAGAACACTGTGGCTGAGCAATCGCTCTCAGTCGTGGTGATTCTTGGCTGCCAGGTACTCAAGTGAGACTACCAGAGTACAAACAGACTTTGAAGGGTCTCTCCTAAATGCCAATTTAGAAGACTGTATATAGTGCTCTCCTTGAGCACTGCATACAGCTCATCTGTCAGTCTTGGGCCAGTAAATATTGGCCCACCTGACAGAGCGGAAATTCAGATATCCATTTATGCCTGGGACTCGCTGGTGCGAGCTGGGCCTGATGTGAGCAGGGATTTTACACTGCTTCACCAAAAAGTTAATATGTTCCATACCATCCTAATGGTGTTGAAGCCCACTTTGTAAAGGATGGCATGAAACATCCTAACATGTGGAAGAGATTAATTAATTATTCTAAATGGCAGAGAATTAAATAGTGAGACTATAGAAGCATGATGTATACAAACAAACTGCTTCAATAAGCTAAGATAGTTTGGTGCTTAGAGTGTCCAATTTAGATTAACTTACTTAAATTGGACAGATGCCTTCATATATATGCTAACCCCAAACTCTATTCTTAATGTCATTGTTATATGGTTATATAACAAGAAAAGATTATGGATGTATAGGATAGGTTTTTTCCAAGATTAAGATTCATCTAGTATGCCTCATTGATTGTAACAAAATGATGAAATGGTATTTTTAATAGAGATCGGATAATTTCTTTTGAGGCAATTCTAAACTACTGTATTGTATTTGTATTGGTATATTGAAAGCATTTTGCTGACCCAGAAGAGAATAAATAGTATAATAATTATAAAAGGAACCATACTATGGGAAGAGGTCACCCTATTAAATTGCTAAGGGGTTAAACTCATTTTGATAAGCATATAAAATTTTGTTTTTGTGGTTAGAATTTTTGATAATCCATTTGAACTCAATTGAAGTATTGCAACCATATCCTTGCAGGTATAGGAAACAGCTGCAATATGATTTTAATATTTGCAATATATTAGTGCTTTCAATGTATTCTGACAATGGAAAAGTTCCTAACCGCATGTCTGTATTACACCTATGACCCAGACTGTCAGTATTGCAAACCCTATATGAAGACTCTGCTATCACTGTTTATGTATACACCCCTAGACGACCGTGCTATATATGCACAATAAAGCTTATTAATATTATATCTGTGTGGTACACAAAGAGGTGTACACAAAGAGGGGGTGTGAGTTAGGTAATCTCGACCTTCATATGGAATATGCTTCCTCCTTGTTCACTTTTGGTCAAACTGTTGGTCTGTGACTGGCCCTCTTTGACCCCAACTGAATTTTTTGGGAAGATACATGAGAAAGATACAGCAGGTTGTTTTGATATAAAGAAAGAGGGAAAAGTATGTTGTATCGGTCACAAAAGGATTGTGATCTTAAGCAGGCGAGACAAAGAAATTTTGGAGGTGATAGGAGATTGAATCAGAAAAGTTTTAGAGGCAGAGGTAGAGAATTTGATCAAAGGATCTAACTTTTGTAGAGGTGGTAACTTCAGCACTGTTTTAATTGTGGATAGCAGGGATTCACCCCAAGGTGCTTGTGGTGAACCCGGTTCTCCTGGTCAACCTGGCCCAGCTGGCATTCAAGGACTCCCACCCTGGCAGGTTCCTCAATACCAACCACAACTTTCAAGCTATACCCACACCCAACAACCTCAGCCTAATACACAGATGGTTCATGTTTTAATACTTTATATATAGTTTTGATAGATAAAACAGTATTAATGCTGGCTCTTAGAGGATGTACAAGCTGAAGTTGGGACCTAGACATTGTTTGCATAGGCTGTGCAATGTGAAATAACTAAAATAAAATAGGATAATAAGTATGCTTAGTCAATTTGTAAAGTGGTATAATAGAGGCATCTGCAATAAAATAAGTGGGTTTCCAAGACCTGACAAGTGAGAGCAACTTAATATAACATATGTCTACAGTTTGCTGTCCCTTCCTTATCAGAGGCCACTTGCAACACAGCAAGACAACTCTTCCGAAACCTGTATTAAACAAAGAACTTTAGAACAATAGTAATTTATTTTGTTTCTCCTATTTCATTCCTAGTTGTTCTGAAAAAAAAAATACATATTGTTTAAGTGGGATAACAGTATGGAGGTTCTAACATGTATTAAAACATGATCACACACATCGGGATCTATAAAAGGTTTCGGTTTCCAAAGATGTTATCAGGGTCCACAAAACTGACAGACTTCAGCATTCCAATGTTGTTAAAGTAATTAATTGAGATTATCAAATCAAGGTTTAAGTTTAAGAACAGCATTTTATTGGGAATTATACCAATATGTATATGTTAGTGTTTTAGTACTCAACAAGCATTTATATAGAATGAGTGCTTCTCTCATCCATACAAAGGCATTCTAAAGGGAAATTATGTATTAAAATTTTATAAAGGACAAATACAAAAACATAAACATAAAGGACATAAACAAAACTGAGAGACGTACATGTTACACTAGTTAAGAGTTTAACTTTAGTCTCTAATTTGAGTTTAGCCTAGATAATTAATTTATTGATGTCGTACTGATCCTTGTGTTTGTATGATTATAGAGACCGTACTGGAGTATTTGTGCCGCCTGATATTTGGGACTACACACCAATCTCTCTGGCTGACCTACCTACCTTTTTTGCAATTAAATCTGTTTGGTCAAAAAAAAAACATGCTGGCCGAAGAAACTGAGATGCTTACTTATGAGGGCATAAACTAACTTGGAAAGTCCTGAAGATGCAGTGCTGTCTAATGCCGCTATTTCTGTATTACCCTTTCAACAATAGGGGTGTTGCACAGAGTATTGTGGTGAACATCCAGCAAACAGAATAATTAAGAACTATGTGGAAGCTGACATTGTCTTGTTGTCAGCCATATTGCTACCCTTAGCTATATTATGGTGTCTAAGATTATGGAACAAAGTTTATGGTGTCTAAGATTCTTTATACTCCTTGAAAGACTTATAATATTTTTCTGGACTATGCTGGACTATTGAACTATTTTGTTATTTTTATTTTTGTAGAGTTAGCCGGAGAGAGAGGAAGTGTTAGCTTACTCAGGCATGGATGTACTATGTGTGTCATTGATGTATGTTGAGTGTACCAAGGATGGATTCCCATGTATTAAGTGTGGATATAACTGGACCATTGAAATAGGGATTTGATTAGGAGGCATAGGACGCAAGGTCATGATTGGGATTATTGCTAGAATTGCAAACTGATTAGAAATGATCTCATGATTTAATATGTAAGTGGGCCTTTTCAAACTAATCAAGAAGTGTTTCCCAATCCCGATACCTGAGCTATTTACTTACAAGTGCAGGTTTTATACGTCACTAATACTGTTAACGTGAGGGGATGACATGTCTACACAGTCATGGCCCTCACTTAGTTTCCCCAGATGTGCTTTTTTCCTCAGTTATGAGTTTTTGCCACTGGGTTTTTTGACCTGGCCCAAGTTCACTGGGTGGACTGGTAATCCAAGACCCTGGTCCAAAGAGGGGAAATAGATTTTATTCCCATTTTTGATTATATGTGTTTACGTTGTGAATTATAATAATAATATTCCCGTTGTTGGGAATAATACACTTTGCCTGTTTTGATCCAAGGCTCAAGTTACAGATAACATGATGTGCAGTCTGTTTAAAATTGGTTAAGATGTCAGCTGTTTGAAATATTTAACTTGTACACTTAAAAGATGTGTACAACAGATGATTACAGAAGCTGAAAATCGACAGCTCGATCTCCTCTTAAAGGGAAAACCTACGGCATAGAGCAAATGGGGGAAATCGAGGTGAAGAAATAAGGAAAGTCCCGCAGACGTGATTAGCACGTCTGAATATACCTCCTTTCGTTTCTCTGCCGCAGGCCTCCCATGGATATTCCATAAGGTAGATCACGATATGATCTAAAGAGAGGAATTGTAGGATATGAATATCCATTTTGCTCTATATCCTAGCTGTTCATATAAGGGTTAATTTGAATCAAGAATAAATTTGGAATTGTATCTCCAATTCTCAGAAATGTTATTGAAACATGATTTTGTTATGTTCCTGGAAAAAGATATTGACATGACATGACATGACATGGATTCTAGAATGTCCTTGTGTGAAAATGGGGTATAAATATAACTGACGTATGAATACAATTTGAATTGGTTATTGAACACGTCTCTGCTATTCATTTCCAATTTCCAGAGCTCTGTATGAGTTGGCAAATATCCATCATCCACAAAGGGCCAGGCTGATTTTATCCCCAACAGTCATAAAGGTAATTTATCTGTTCTTTTTATAGGCCAGGTTCAGCTTTAATGATCAATGGTCCTTTTAGGGACTCCCTACCAGTCATGGGTGTCCGCATGGAGGGGCAAGGGGGGGCACTTGCCCCTCCTTGCGGACACCCATGGAAGGGTCTGCAAGAAGAAGGAAGGGTCTGCAAAGAGCAGAAAGGGACAGAAGGAGCACAAAGGTAAAGGAGCAGAAAGAAGCAGAAGGAGCACAAAGGTAAAGTGGGAGAAGGAGCAGCAAAGAGCTGGAAGGGTCGACATTGAGCAGGAAGGATCAGCAAGGAGCAGGAAGGGTCTGCAAGGAGAAGGAAGGGTCTGCAAAGAGCAGAAAGGGACAGAAGGAGCACAAAGGTAAAGGAGCAGAAAGAATCAGAAGGAGCACAAAGGTAAAGTAGGAGAAGGTGCAGCAAGGAGCAGAAAGGGGCAGCAAGGAGCTGGAAGGGGCAGCAAGGAGCTGGATGGGGCAGCAAGGAGCAGGATGGATCTGCAAGAAGCAGGAAGGATCTGCCAGGAGAAGGGAGGGTCTGCAAGGAGCAGAAAGGAACAGAAGGAGCACAAAGGTAAAGGAGCAGAAAGAATCAGAAGGAGCACAAAGGTAAAGTGGGAGAAGGAGCAGAAAGGAATAGAAATGAGCAGAAAGGGTCAGCAAGGAGCAGAAAGGGGCAGCAGAAGCAGGAAAAGACAAAAAAAGCACAAAGGTGAAGGAGCAGAATGAATCAGAAGGGGCATAAAGATAAAGTAGGAGAAGGAGCAGCAAAGAACTGGAAGGGTCGACAAGGAGCAGGAAGGGTCAGCAAGGCGCAGGAAGGGTCTGCAAGGAGAAGGAAGGGTCTGCAAAGAGCAGAAAGGGACAGAAGGAGCACAAAGGTAAAGGAGCAGAAAGAATCAGAAGGAGCACAAAGGTAAAGTGGGAGAAGGAGCAGAAAGGAATAGAAATGAGCAGAAAGGGTCAGCAAGGAGCAGAAAGGGGCAGCAGAAGCAGGAAAAGACAAAAGAAGCACAAAGGTGAAGGAGCAGAATGAATCAGAAGGGGCATAAAGATAAAGTAGGAGAAGGAGCAGCAAAGAGCTGTAAGGGTCAACAAGGAGCAGGAAGGATCAGCAAGGAGCAGGACGGGTCTGCAAGGAGAAGGAAGGGTCTGCAAAGAGCAGAAAGGGACAGAAGGAGCACAAAGGTAAAGGAGCAGAAAGAATCAGAAGGAGCACAAAGGTAAAGTAGGAGAAGGTGCAGCAAGGAGCAAAAAGGGGCAGCAAGGAGCAAAAAGGGGCAGCAAGGAGCAGGATGGATCTCCAAGAAGCAGGAAGGATCTGCAAGGAGAGGAAGGGTCTGCAAGGAGCAGAAAGGGACAGAAGGAGCACAAAGATAAAGGAGCAGAAAGAATCAGAAGGAGCACAAAGGTAAAGTAGGAGAAGGAGCAGAAAGGAATAGAAATGAGCAGAAAGGGTCAGCAAGGAGCAGAAAGGGGCAGCAGAAGCAGGAAAAGACAAAACAAGCACAAAGGTGAAGGAGCAGAATGAATCAGAAGGGGCACAAAGATAAAGTAGGAGAAGGAGCAGCAAAGTGCTGGAAGGGTCGACAAGGAGCAGGAAGGGTCAGCAAGGCGCAGGAAGGGTCTGCAAGGAGCAGGAAGGGTCTGCAAGGAGAAGGAAGGGTCTGCATAGAGCAGAAAGGGACAGAAGGAGCACAAAGATAAAGGAGCAGAAAGAATCAGAAGGAGCACAAAGGTAAAGTAGGAGAAGGAGCAGAAAGGAATAGAAATGAGCAGAAAGGGTCAGCAAGGAGCAGAAAGGGGCAGCAGAAGCAGGAAAAGACAAAACAAGCACAAAGGTGAAGGAGCAGAATGAATCAGAAGGGGCACAAAGATAAACCAGAAGAAGGAGCAGAAAGAAACAGGAAGGGACAGAAAGGAGCAGAAAGGGCAGCAAGAAGCAGAAAGGGGCAAAATGAGCACAACGGTAAAGAGGTGCAAAATGGGGCAACAAGGAGCAGGAAGGGACAGCAAGGAGCAGAAAGGGTCAGCAATGAGCTGGAAATGGCAGCAAGGAGCAGGAAGGTACATAAGGAGCACAAAGGTAGAGTAGGAGAAAGGGCGGAAAGGAGCAGGAACAGAAATGAGCAGGAAGGGACATCAAGGAGTATAAAGGGTCAGCAAGGAGCACAAAGGTAAAGTAGGATAAGGAGCAGTAATGAACAGGAAGGGTAAGCAAGGAATAGGAAGGGTCAGCATAAGCAGGAATGGTCAGCAAGAAGGAGGAAGGGTCTGCAAGGAGCAGGAAAAGGTCTGCAAGGAGAAGGAAGGGTCTGAAAGGAGCAGAAAGGGGTAAGGAGCAGA